CCTTTTAATGAAGAAATGAATCAAGACTACTAGTAGGCAAATTAGGATATCCCTTTTAAAAATTTGATGAAAAATAACTTCAATGAAATGGTAGTTTTCACAGTAAAAGTTTGCTTTACTAACTGTTAAGATTCCTCCCGCCCACCTACCCTCATTCTAGGTTATTTTCCCGGTATGATTCTGTAGATGGCTTAGTTGTATATTTTTTTTCTGTTAGTCTCTGTATCTGATGCAGGCATAGCATAGGCTTACTTGTGGATTATGTTATCTCACCAGTACTGTAACTATATTGTAAGGATATTAGTAACTATACTGGATACTTCTGGAGGTTTTTTTGGGGGGGGGAAGTATACAGTTAAATTTCAAAAAAGGTAAGCTAAGATTTATGGCTGTCTTCCAGTTGGTTACATTGCAACCTTTAGTATTGAGGAGTTAGATTTTTTTTCATGTAACTTTAATGACAATTGTGATAGTGAGACTTAAGAAGTTGCTACAATTACCGCTTCATTGTTGCATTTAGATTTTTCTTATCATATTGTAACATTAATTACATTTTGTTGAGTTCTGACTCTGTGGCCAGGGGATTTTTTTTTTTCACAAGTAGTGTGTATATTAAAGGTGTTTGCATGAGTTGCCTAGATTTTCTTTAAATGAGAAAAATATCTTTGATACGTAGGGAGGAAAAAGGAATGCATCTGTCTCATAGATATGCTTGTATTTTGCAGTTCTTAATGGGAGAAAGTAGAAGAAAGTACATCTAAGAAAGCATTAAGATTTTTCTAACAACCTGTTTAGGTGTAGAATCTTGATTGATTAATTTGATAGATTATTTTTTTATATACACGATCTTTCCTATTTCATAGACTTTTTTCTGTTCTGTGAGAATAGTGAAAATGGTTGGTTTAGAAAAAGTAGCTTATTAAAAAAGCACATACACTGGGAAAGCAGTTAGACTAAACTTTATCTGGGTAAAATCTTTATTTTTCTTTTTTTGAATCAGGAGATCAGCAAAATCTCGAAGCAGAAGTCCGTATTCATCAAGGCACTCGAGATCTCGTAGCAGACACAGATTGTCTAGATCCAGAAGTCGTCATTCAAGTATCTCTCCTAGTACGTTGACTCTGAAGAGCAGCCTGGCTGCTGAGCTGAACAAAAACAAAAAAGCAAGAGCTGCTGAGGCAGCCAAAGCCAGTGCGAAAGCTTCCAATACTTCAACACCTACCAAGGGGAACACTGACACTGCTGTAAGTGCACCTCAAGTGAACAATGTAAAGGACCTGAAGAAAATAAAAACTGAGCATACGCCTTCTCCTACGAGCACGGCAAATTTGAAAAATGACAAGGCAAAAGCAAAGGTCTCGCTTCCTGAGACAAAAGGGGAAAATAATTTAATTGCAGACAAAATTACAAAACAGAAACCTACAGCAGTAAAAGAGAATAAATTAACTGTTGTAAAACAGGCACCGGTCACTGTAAAAGAGAAAAGCAAGCCGAGCACACCCAGTGTAGTAACCAAGGAGAAAGATCGAATTGTTGCACTACCAACCTCCACACTGCCACCCTTGCCTTTGCCTCCCACGCTGCCTGAAGATAAAGAAACTGATAGGTGAGTTGTGACAGAGATTTGCTTTTGGAGGTTGTCTTTTTCTTTTTATTATTGTTGTTGTTATTTACCAATTTGCTAGATCAGACTGATGCATTAGGTAGGTTGTTTGTGCTCTTCAGTCCTGTAACGTGGAGCTTATTAGTGAACTGAAGGAATTTGAACTTAAAAATAATTTAACTGCCTCCTGAAAAGAGAAAGGTTTAGTTAGTGTAGGAGGAATCTTTCAATAAAAAGTATACTAAAGAGATGATTTAAGATTGTGGGTACATAATAGGTTTGAGACTGATGCAAGGATGCATTCAAGGATTCAAGAGTTCAAGTTTGGTGTGAACATGTACATACTTCGAGGGAAAAGTTGAATTCAGTAGCAATATGGGAAAATTCCTTAATTAGCTGGTGTCTGAGGTAAAGATTCCCTTGCCTTAGGAAGGCAACTGTTTTTATAGTTGTGCGTTATTTTAGTACGATTTATATCTGGGATCAGTATTATTTTGAGTACGTATAAAGGAAGTGAAATTTGTGGCTTATTCTGTTAACTTTTGAAGCATTGAAAAATGTTGAAAAATTAGTCTGTGTGAAGAAATCCATGTCTGCATTCTAAGTGTCCTCTTGAGTTTAGACTGTGTTTAGTTGATAGACCTAACAGAGAATGTGTGCTGTGATGTGTGTTGGAAAATGAGGCTGTTGAGCTGTAATTTACTGTTTTTCTTTTGGTTTGATGATGAAACTGAGAAAAGCTACTTTTGTTTTTATGTATGGTGTTACATGCCTCTTGCATGTATACAAGAAATCAGGTTCTCACAATAAGTAAGAAAAAAAAATGTTTTAGCATTGAAGTAATTTAAATGTGATAAATCTTTGTAAAAAAAAATGAAACAGTAAAAGAAATATTCAAAACATTATGAAGTTCTTTATTCCATATCTCTGAAACTAGCCTATCTTCTCTGGTTCTTTGAGAGGCATATAATGTTTCTTTGATTAGTAAATGTAGTTAGAAGTGTAAATGTTTCTCTTGTGTTTGCTAGTAATTTAATGCTATGTTAAGCATTAGGATACCTTCTCAGTGAATGAAACTTAACAAGATTAGACAGGTATTTATTTTTTTAGTAGTAAAAGAAAAATCTTATTTCTTGCCCTTAAGCATGCTAGCAGATGTCATTCCAATTGTTCAGAATCACATCTGTGTGGTGAATGTATGGTTGCCTTTAAATTTGACAGAGCCATCTTCTCTAAGTAAATGGGATTTCTGACACTTATTTGAGAGGAAGATTTACTGTTTTAACTGAAAACTAGGCTAACTAGTTTAAATATGTCTAGCATTGCAATGTTAATTGTGGTAGTATGAAATGAGATTTCGTCTTGAAGCTGGCTAGTTGCTCTCATTATTAGTATTTTTTCGTGTAATAGCTCTTTCAAGTGTAGCTGAACTGCACAGAGGAGTTAAACTGCAGTTAAGCTACAAATTGCATTGGCACTGAGCTTGTTCCGCTTTCAAAAAAAGCCTAATGCTTACAGACAGCCTCATTGGAAAGATTAATGATAAGTAATAGAAAGTCATTTATGCTTCGCTTAGTTTTGCCTATAGAATGTTACAAACTTCAGTTAAGAACGATTGTGATTACAAGTCATGATAAAGCTTAAGGTGTCAAAGAAAAATGATCAATGATTTTTCAGGGGGCAGTGGGCAAAGGTATTTACCTTGGGTTCAGGGTTTCTCTGGTGAAATTGCATCAACAGGGCAAGCTTGATGTGCTGCAGAACTGGCTGGTTCCTAACGTCTTGTCAGTTGTGAAGTACGGTAATAATCTGATAAAACCACGAATAAACTACCTAAAGGTACAGCAGTGTTGCAAAACCACTGTGTAGGTTAGCTGAAAGGGAAAATGGGTGGTCAGTGATGTGTGATTTAACAGACTTAAAAAAAAGGATGATTTTGGCTGCCATTGTTTTCACGTGCCACTTCTAAAATTTGTTCTGAAACAAAACCACTCATACATTATACTTTCAGTAATACTGAAAGTTTGTGAGGCAAATACAAATACACGAACTTAAATATTGAGAATTTTTATTTACCATGATAATTACATGCACTGTCAAAAGGTGATTTGTTCTTTATAGCATGTCTGTCTTTATTTGTGACAAAGAGAGTGTATACTTCTTTCAGGTGATTCTGTAAAGCAGATGCAGCTTGAGAAGTGGTAGAAGACATTCAAGTATTCTGTTTCATGAGGAAGCAGAGACATAACAAAACACTGGAATGCTTTACGTAAATATATGAAGATTGTTAATTGCAATTTATGTAAGAAAGAATATGCATTCTCCCTGGTGGAAGATAGCAATATCTTTCCATTTACAGAAGTTCCTGCTTTATCTACGAAAACTAGATGGTAGATAAGAACTAGGTTGAGAAGTTGCAGTTCCCAGAGGATGAACCATGTTTTTTTTTAAAAAAAAAAGTTGGACTTTTCAGAATTTCCACATTAGAATGGGAAGAGCATCTCATTATTGTGTACAGTAATTAAAGGAATACATTGCTCTACGTTTGTTTGGGGGATTTTTCTCAAGGAAGAGATTGACTGTCGATATCTGTTATCTAATTATGATTGATGATTTAGAAACAGTTGAGTATCAGTAACGCATGACAAAAAGCATTTAGTTACTTTTTTCACCTGATTTTTTTCCCCCCCTACTTGTTTTGTATGCTGATCACTAGAAATGTGTTGAACCTGGAGGTTTTCAGCAAATGTATGAGATTGAAATCTGTAAATGAGGTGGTGTGAACTCCTCATAATGCTCTGCAGTGTTACTGTAACCAGGAAGCTTATTATCTCTGGAGACCAAATTTATAAAGAACTGGATTAGGATAATGTTCTTTTTTATATGAGAAGTCAGTCAGAGTACAGATTTTACCACTCTGCTTCTGATATCTGGCAGTACCTGAGCTCTAAATATTCTTGGAAGTCTAGGCTGTAAGCTTGGGAAAAAGCTTGTGTGGCAGAAGAGGTCTGGCCTGGTAAGGCTTGCTGTGTCATCTAATCTCAGCTTTTGTCAGAAAGATCTGATTTTTAGTTTCTCTAGAATTTTGGTAGTTTGCTGTACATCTTCCAGAAATTTTTAAATCATAAATCAAAGTCCTGTAGATTTTTAAGAGTAGGGATTTCAAATGTTGATGCATTGACAGCCCAGAATATGTTTTTGAAAAACAATTCCCGTAAGTTTTCCTTTATGTATGTTAATATCATTCTCCTGTGTTTAACTTACTAGCAAAAATATGTCTTTTTTAATAGCTTGCGAGAGAATCTTTCCATGAAGTCAGTTAAAGAAGCAGAGAAGAAGCTTCGCCATCTGCTTGCGGACTTGCCACTTCCACCAGAGTTGCCTGGAGGAGCTGATTTATCCAAAAGTCCTGAGGAAAAGAAACCAACAGTTCCATTACACAGCAAGAGAAGACCAAAGTAAGTTTATTAGACTTCAGGCAAGTAGAAGTGATAATAGTTGCTTTAAAATATATTCTACTCAAAAGAATCCTGCTTTTTAATGACCTTTTAAATATTAATGAGTCTTTAATCAAACTGCATGGTTTATTGCCACTTAATGGTAGTAAGCCAGTTGTCTAATAATGTCTTAAATATTTAGTGCTGAGAATTTTTTCGAAAGTTAAGACAATCCTTAGATATATTAGCTATATTCTTAGAAATGTTTGTTGTTTTCTAGAATATGTGGACCACGACATGGTGAAACAAAAGAAAAAGAAATAGACTGGGGAAAGCGCTGTGTGGATAAATTTGATATCATTGGTATTATTGGTGAAGGCACTTATGGGCAAGTTTACAAAGCCAGAGATAAAGACACAGGTAAGTTCAAAACAGTAAATGTAATCTTGCAATTCTAATATTTTGCTTTTGTGTTGAGTAACATTTATGATATTCTGCCCTCTAATGTTTGGGAAGCTTTTAGTTGTTTGTTTGTTTGTTTAGTTTTAAACCTAGCATTTGTCTAAATCAGAAGTTATCTTTTAGTGCCTCGGAAAGTCATTCATCTGTAAAGCTGTGGCTAAAAGCAAACTGAGTAGTCTTAATTTCTAAACCTTCTTTCTTCAGTTTTGATGCTCTGTATGTTGTTGAGCTAGTGAAGAAAAGAGGCTAAATACTCGGGAGAAGCAAAATGACACCAGGCACAGGTTGATAAAGAATAATGAAATTTGTAAAGCGATGTAAGAGTGAAAGAAACTGTGCATGAGATTTAGCCATTTTTCTTCTTCGTGCTCAAGTAGTCAGTACTTGACAGTAGGAAGAAAATATGCCCCTGTGCAACACCTGAAGTGTTGTATATTGGGTATTTTTCTTGCAGTATAACTGACTTTACAACAGCATTATAATTTTTAAATTTCATGTTAAACTATTGCTCAAATGAGCAAGCAGTCACCACTGTGATACATAATAATGTTGTCACTACTTTTGAGTAGATAATGCATTGAAATCGATTCTTCATCTGTTCTTCTGTGTTGCTTTTGGTTGTTTTATGTTCTAATAGTAGTTCTCTCTGTCACTGCTTGTCCTTCTGGCTTATTTGTGCATGTTTTGAATGCTGGATAATTTTCTACTTCAGTAGTAACTGAATTGCACAGGTTTGCATACTAGCCTCAGTTTCTTTCTTCTGATCTCCGGAAGAATGAGCAGCGTAATTGTAATTCCTTCTTCATTCTTCACTTCCACTTGTCTCAGTTTGCAAACTTTAGTTCTTAAGTTGAACAGTCACAGATTTCAGTTTTTACTTTTACCTGGGAAACCACTGCTTCTTCCTGCCCTCTTGGGATTCTGTTCTTTGCACATTTAACTTTTTAATCCCATGATAACTGTATCGCTTCTTTGGCAGGCTTCACACTATCTGTGTGTGGCAGTCATTTAGTCTCCAGTAGAAGCTGTTGCTCTCTGTGTTGAATGTGTCCTTACAAGTATATACAGTTATGAGAAACCATCCAGTTAGCTTTGGATTCAAATTCTGCGCAAAGAGCAGCATGGTGGCCTTTATACCTTCTAACTTTATACTTTATATAACCTTATATATACCCATATATATATATATACACCCACACCCCTTATAACTTGATAGCTTATATAACCTTACATAATCTTTATACCTTATAACTTTATACCTTATACTAAGGTATAAAGGCTTTATGGCCTTTATACCTTGTAACAAGCTGTGCAGTTGGTTTGCACAGCAAGTGGATGCTCTGTCATACTGGACTGTGACCTGCTGTGTAGATACTATATAAACTCGTGCAAGTCAAGTGGTTTTTAGACCTAATAAAGATACTGGTGCTGTCAATAAACTTCCCAGACACAGCAATAAATTTCCCAGAACAAAATGGTTGAGCCAGCGTGCAGTCTTCAGATATCCTCCATCATGAGTGGATCGTGCTCCCTGTCCTTTTGCAGAAGCTGGCTTCATCCAGCCTGGCCTGCAGTAAAATAATTGAGACATTTTCTCCTCGCTGTAAGCATGACAGTGATGCTTCTGCTTGTAGAATATATACTGATGAATTTGAGAACTTTTCAGTCATCTGCCTCCTATCTTGAACTACATGGTATTTATGACTATGTATGCGTTTTCTAACGTGTGGTGATGTAGTAATAAGAAAGCCAGAGTGGACACAGGCCTCTATCTCTAAAGCTGCCATTGATAGTCACTCTTATGGGGGCTTATTGATGGAACTGGCATGGAATATCAGGACACAGGTAAGTGAGGTGTGCAGGAGGAAGAGGATAGGCCTTACAGTGGGTAGCTGGAAATTCTCGTCTGTAGTTGTGCTTCCCTGTGTGATAGTTTCCCAGCAGTGGTTAATTCTGTTTCCATTCAGCATAGAGATTGGTGCAAGCATCAAAATATTAACTGTTTATTCTTTCAGAAATAATAACAAACAGAAACGGTTTTCAAAACAAACAAAACAGCCCAGTACTAAATCCCAAGTTTGGTTGCTAATCTTAATGCTTTTTATGTAAATTTTATCTTAGGGGAGATGGTGGCACTAAAGAAAGTACGACTGGATAATGAAAAGGAAGGGTTTCCAATTACGGCTATTCGGGAGATTAAGATTCTTCGACAGCTTAATCACCAAAGCATTATCAACATGAAGGAAATAGTGACGGATAAGGAAGATGCTTTGGACTTCAAGAAGGACAAAGGTATGCACGCTGGCAGGCACCAGGGTGGCTCTTTCTGGTCCTGTTCTTAATACAGGAGACTGCTGTGCTGGGTTTGAAGTTAGGCCACGTGAGAAACTATGTTTGCAACTTGTGATGCTTGACAAGGAATTTTAATTTTGATTTAATTACTAGTAGAAGTCCTTTACTTAGGTCAACTATGCCTTTTGCTCATAGAAACCTTTTTGCAAATGTTTCATACAATGAAAAAAATTTGCTTGAATCCAGTTTTGCTGGGGAGGAACAGGTGTTTGATTCCTTGACATTCATGGATTAGGGAGGCCGGCAGTTATAGGAAGGTCTTAATTGTGAGCTTTTTTAGCCTTTTATTTTCCTCATAGTATGTTCTTGTATTGTAGGCTCAATGTTGAAGGGATTTTTCATTGTAGGCGTTAGTTTTATTTGATTTATACTTCAGTTACTTTTTTCATAGTTGGGCATGTGTGTATTGAAGGGTAGAAGAAAGATAGGAACAATAGTGAAAAACAAGGTTTGTGTGGTGGTGGCAACAGTGGCCTTTTTCCCCAAATAAAAGGCATACAGACTTCTACTCTTTTGGTTCCGTCAGTGTTAAGTTTGGCTTGTTTGAGTTACTGCAACTGCCTTAGCCAAGAGGAATAAGCAAACAGTGAAAATCATGCCAGCGTTGTTGCTTGGTACTTTTGATATGGAGTGATTGTTTATTCTTTGGAGGCCATTTTTTTCCTTTTAGATCCAAGTCTTAGAAACCTGTCATTTTGGGATATTTTAGTGGCTATTCGATACATGGTTTGCCTGGAGGGGGGGGGTTGGAATGTGGTACCTGTGTTTCTTGCCTGCTCTCCCTCCCCAAGTTCCCACACAGTGTGCACAGAAAATGCCATACATGCTGCACAGCCAGCAGAAACACCAGGTGACATGGTGGTGAGTCAGAAGATAGCTCTCAAAATTAGGCAGGAATTAGTTTGAGGTTTTTTTCACTAACATCCTTAGAACGTTTGGTAGCTCAAAGCACTGATGTGCTCTTTTTTGGCTGTGTTTTGAAGTGGGAAGCATCTAGCAAAAGAGTTTCTCTAAGATATGTGTAAGTTCGGTGGTCAGCATCCATTCCAAATCCTGACAATGTGCAACAGCCGATTTAGGCTTTTCATGTGAATCTTGTACTGAGTTTTAATTAGGTCTAACCTACTTGGCTAATGAGACCACACTGAGCCTTGACTTACTACTTAATGACTCATTAATTAATTTTCTCCGTTTCTGTTTGGTGCCATGTCTAGGACTGAATTGTAAATTTTTTGGTGTAGTTCAAACTGTGTGTCTCATTAATGTTGAATGTGGGGGTTTTTTTCCCACGTCTGTATTTGTGGTTTTTTTTTAATATTGCTTTGAATTTATTTTTTCATTCTTATTTAATAGCTTATTAAAACATTTTGAGATAATTTGCAAGGGAAGAGGCTTCTCTGGAGATGGTAGAATGAAATTAGTTTCCGATAATCTCTTGAAAAGCATTAGCATGTTAATGAGACTGTCCTATAACAGTTTGTCTGTGAAGAGATGGAAGTTGTTTTATTGGTGTTTTTGATTTTTGTGTCTTTTTTGTTGGTTTTTTTTTTTTTTTGGAGGAGCACTGCATTCTGTATTTTTCTAATGAGTAGTTCGTTGTGAGATGGGGATTTATAGCTGCCACATTGTGGCCAAATCGCGGTCTGTGCAGGGAATGAATGCAAGAGGGTGGAAATTTAGTCATTTTCATGGTGTAAACCATTGCAAACAAAAAAGTAGGCTGCTCAGTGTAAGAGGGAACCATTACAAAAATGGTAGAGATGTCTTACTCGAGCACAATTTACAGTAAAAAATGAAGTATTTTATCCTCTCATGACCATGCTTATGCTTTGGAATGTAATGCTTACAAAGTAAAAATTTTGTGTCTAAGGCCAACTGTGATATCATGGCCTATTTCTTGTCTCCTTATTCACTTTGGTTGTTTTGGTTGGATCTTGGTAGTTTAAAATGCAGCAGATTTGGTTTTCTGACAGTTGTGTAAATGTTGAGCACACTTTGTACAGAACTTATTTTAAGGATGCTTTTGAAGATGGCGACACTGGACGGCGAACCAGCAATGGCTCAGCTTGTCCAACTTTTTCCTTTTTTGAGCTGTTAAATGTTTTCAAGTGACATAATCCTGTGACTATCAACCGCTTGTGTATCTGAGTTGTCTTAATATTTTCAACAGCATTTAACTTTTGAAGAAAATGGAAGAAAAGTATATTTGTATTTTATACTGGCCAGCTTGAGATATAAGTTTAATGACTGGAACAAGTTTAATAGATAGGATTGGTTTTATTCTTTGCAGACCAGCTGTTAGAAATAGCAGCACATTACAAATGTTGTGTTTTTCCATCAGTTGGAAATAGAGTGGATCAAACAGCACTTTTATTTGTATAGGTTGGGCATATACACAGCTGAGCAGGTGATAAATGGGTCTGCTTTACTGAAGATCCAAAGTTTCTAAGCTTGCAGTTTTTGTTATGCGTGAGGCATGCTTGAGGATAAAGCTGGAGCAGGCAATCCCAATTAGAAATGATGATGCAACATCTTGATCCTGAGGCATGATCCCACCAGGTAAAATGTGTAGGTTGGATGTAGTGAGGAGGAGTACCCATTTTGTCTCTCTCTCAGGTAGGTGTCTCTGCCCATAGCTATCGTTCAGAAGGGGGCAGGTGAACACAGAAACTGAGGAATGGGAGCACGACTCAACAGTTTGTGTTGTCTTGTGCCTGTATCTGCGTAACAGCTGACCTAAAAAAAAGTCTGCTTAACACACAGTTCAAAAAAGAAAATAATAAAATTGTTCTAATTCTCTTGGGACATAAAGCTTCATTTGACTTGATAGCACTGATGCGCTGTAGTTTCCATTCATTTTTTTCCCAAAAATCTCAGAACTCCAGTCATTTTTGTTGAACAAGTTTCTTTGTAATGAGCTAGTGCAGGAGCAATTGTAGGTGCCAGGCTTTGGCAGTAGTAGAAGCAGCCTGACACTGTTGGTGCTTACGACCAAGTCTGCTGGCAACTCAGTCACAGAATCACAGAATGTCAGAGATTGGAAGGGACCTCTAGAGATCATCTAGTCCAACCTCCCTGCCAGAGCAGGATCACTTAGAACAAGTCACACAGGAACACGTCCAGGTGGGTTTTGAAATCTCCAGAGAAGGAGACTCCACGACCTCTCTGGGCAACCTGTTCCAGTGCTTTTCATTTTTTGTTTGCTTGAGATAGTTCAAATCAATTGGAATTCATGTTCATGTCCTTTGGGAGCAGAGTTTGGAGCAGGAGGATTGTATTTTGCAGAAGCTCTTCATCTTAGCGTTTGTTGTTCTTTTTGTCTGAGAAAGTTTGTGATGTTTCCTGTGCAACAGTAATTGATGAAAGCAAGATTTAAAACAGAACTTAAAAACAAAGAGCTATTTCTTAGATATACTCAAATATAGACACCTTGTAGGCTAAGTTAGTTGAGCCACTTCCTCAGTTATAATGTGAATCGTTGAAAAAAGACTCTTTGGGTTTTTGTCAGCTCTGGTTTGTTTTCTCAGTGAGTCTGTCATATAAAATGACTTAGGTGTCTTTTTTTTTTTTTTTTTGTCTTGGAGCACCTTTGTTGCTGTGAATTCAAAACCAGTATGTGTACTGACTAACTGGAGGCATTTTAAACTGCTAACCCCAGGAAGGATATATAACTGCATGGGAGACTAACAAAAAATATCAGGTTAACATTGCAGATTGTTTGTTGTGTTTTTTTTTTTCTTTGTGTGTATTATCTTTTTGGATTATGTGTGTGTGTTTCTGTAATTCATTTTAAGATCTAAGTTTACTTTAGATTAAATTTTGAATTGATTTGCAGTGCAAATTAACCTTTTTAGGCGTGAAGTCGCTGTTTATCTCAACAGTAGTACACGAGTCAAAGGGACACTGACTCTGGCATGTTGTCATATGACTAGCCAGGCTACTTTCTCACAGACGTCAAGGAGTACTTAGTCTGTCTGCAAGCTCGTGGTTTGGAAGGAGTCTGTGACAGCAATCATGTCCTCATCGGAGGACATGAACCTTCACTACAGGATTCCTTCTCTACTTGTGTCATAGCTGGCTTTACTTGAGTTTCCTGAGAAGCTGAGCAAAACCAAAGTGAGCTGAATTTTGGAAGCCTCGAGTGATCTACAGCTCGCCTTGCTGCGCCCTAAATAGCTGATAGAAACTTCTTACCCAGATAGTTTTCATGCTACAGCTGAGTTGTCAGGAGCAGCAAGAATGTGTGTTGTGCCCTCCTCTACTCTGGAATGAGTGCAGACCTAACTGGGTGGCTTTTCAACTTGATACACGTTAGAGCAAAATGAGAAAAATTCCTGATTATTAATCAAAGATTTTTGATGTGTGTTGTTTACTTTTCCTCTGCTTTCTGTAGGAGTTGTTTGTTGGTGTTTGGTGTTTTTGTTGAATTTCGTTGTTGTTGTTGCTGGTGTTTGTTGTTTTTTGTGGATGTGGGAGTTGTTTTTTTTTGGATTTTTTTGTTCAGTTTCTTCAGTTACTTGATGAAACATGGACAGTGTTTACTCCCAGAGTTTCTGTGTGCCTTTTGCTGGTATGCCTATTTCAGAACATGTTTCCATGTACATGAAGTTTGGATTGGATTCATTTCAAGAGGAGAATGGAGTTGAACTTGCAATCAGAGAATAACACTGGCATCAAATAATAACTTAATATTGGGTGAAAATGTTAAAAAAAGGTTAAAAGTTCTGGTTTCATTAGATGAAATTTTTCTTAATAAGTTTTGTGATACCTAAGTGGAAGAATGGATATGATAGCGAAGCTTTCCTTAAGGTGATTAATTCAGTAGCTATGCGTTAATTTGGTGTTTTACAAATTAGAAAATAGGTTTGTAAAACGGGAGTAGAAATAAAAGGTGAATATCTAGTTTAAGGGACTTCAAGGAATTTAAATGTAAAGAACTTGAAGGAATTGCTGGACAATTTCCTCATTAGTTTTTAAACTCTGTGACAAAATTGTGTTTAAAACTCTTGGAATACAGTGTATCATGAGTACTGGAAGAGAAATGTTAAGGAAATGGAAGAGTAAATATAATTATCTTTAATTGGGGGAAAAAATCTATGTACTGCATAGAAGAGACTGAGGAGGCTTATTAGAGAAATGAAAACCTGATATAGTGTAATTCTGAATGGTGGGTACAGAACAAAATGTTGAAAACCTGTTCAGCTACTCAGCATTGTACATATCATGCACTGAATGAGGCAGGGATTTATTTATTTATTTTAGACATTTTTGTATTTCAGGATACTACTGTAATACATTTATACAGGCATCAAATTAAAATGTGCACATAATAAGACACTTGTGGTCTCCTGGGTCCTTTAATCTGTATCTAATCGGATGTTTTGAGAAACCCAGAGCACCTTCCCTATGAAATTACATTTGGAAAGTATTTGCTTAACAGCTGTGATCTATATAGGCTTTTGGATCATTCTCCCCTGCTATTCCCAGCCTCAGCCCAAAGCACTTGTGTCTTACTTTGGGAACAAACGTGTATCTTGACGTCCTGTTTTATTGGATCTGTGTGATTTGATGACAGTCCAAAACAATGGAGAGCCTGCCTGTGTCACAAAAATGCCAAGTGTGTTTTGTTAGGTTTCTTGGCTCCCCCAGAAAATCCTTTTTTTATTACGAAAGGCCCTGTTTTGTTGGGTTACCTGTTTTCTACGTGTGGCTTTACAGTGTTATACTCCAGCTCATTTTGTGTTTTGTTTAAGAAAACCACTGCTAGACCTTCATGATTTGAAATACATGAACAGGAGGAGTAGATACATTAATTCTTTAACTGTTCTAAGTGGGTACCTTACTTACTGAACCTTATCAATCTTAGCTGACAAAATGGTCCAAAAGATTGATTTTTCTAAGTGCAGACAAAAGGAGGAAGGCAAGGATTGATCTCATCCATGTGAGTCTCCTTTATTTATTGCATAGCTCCCTGATAGATTCAGCTGCTATCTCTTATCCCATGTTCAGAAGTCGATGATTTTACTACTGTTCAGCTGTTCCAGCTGCTGCTCCATCAGCATGCAGAGTGACATTAAGATTTCTTATTGTCTCAGAATAATAAGAAGGAAATGGGGCACCCAAGACATAAACCCCACTGTTAGTGCTTTGCTACAGCATGTGGAAACAGACTGTAGGCTCCCTCTCCCCCACAGGTACTTACTGGGGAGTGCAGGTCTTTAACATAACAACAGTAAGTAACATTACAGTCAAATATAACTCTGGGTTCATTTGGATTGCATATTTTAGGTATTTCTACGATACTGCTTCTGGAAGTGTGGATATTGGGCAGAGGTAGCATGAAACAAAAGGTCATTTTAAAACATAACACTGAAGTTATCAAATGTCCTGGCTTCATAAAGAACAATTTTTTTCTTTATGCTTTCCTTCTTGAGAAATTTGTTTTGATTGAATTAAAGGAGGTTGTAAACTTGAACTCAGACTATGCTGTAGTAAGCAGGCTTCTGCTGGTGCATGGTTCATTTGTGAAGTCTTCCTGTTTTTGTCTTCCTGAGTATCTCTAGCTTCTTTCCCTGCTACAAAGGATCAGATCCCTCATCTGATGAAAAGCAATAGAGATTTGAAATGATCAAGTGGGATAGCAGTAACAGTCTGTTGACTGAAGCTATACATCTCTGTATCAGAAGAGGGCACCACAAATAAACTAACTGAAGTTTCACTTTGATTTACTCGATACCTTTGTTCTAGCTATGATCACTTCCAAATATGAATTGAGTAATACTGGAAACCAGGTTTTAATGGTTGGTCTGCCAAGGCTGGTAGACTAATAGCTTCTTATAACCAATGAAGAAGACTCAACTTTGACAGGTTTTCTTTTCAGAACAAATTTTAACATTGTATAATAGGTAGTAAAGCACAACTGTAATGGATTTGTGCAATTGCTCTTGTTCCAATATGGAAGGAACAATTAGGGTTCATACTGTTCTAGTGTACGTTTCTCAATTAGAGTTGCAGAAAATATAAATAACTGGGTGTCATCTCCCAGGTACAGCTCTGTTTTATTTATGAATAATCTCTGTTGTTGTCAGCTTTCCTTCTGAGCATACCAATTGTGATTGCTGGCTATAAATAGTGGTGAAAAATTCTGGGGAGCTAGTGGCAGAGCAGGAAATTGCTCAGGGCACAGAGACTACTTTCCCTGTAAACAAGAAGGCTTTGTTCAGCTGATCTCACTGGACTGGTCTGTGACACCACTGACCCTTCCCAGTCTTTCTCCTTGTTGCGTACACACAGTGTGTAGCTTGCTGCTGCGACCGAGTTCCCTTCCCTTTGTATTCCAGAGCAAGAAGATCCCAGGATCTCTGGTATTTGATTTTGTTGAACTGACATCCTCCAAAGGGCATATCTGGATAATTCTGGTGCTGCAGTGTTACTCTTGGGTGTTTTGTTTTGTGACATTTTAAAATATGCTGTGGTTCATACTTCAGCAGTTGCCAGAGAAATGGACCTAACATCAGGTTGCTGAGTGTCTTGTTTTGAAAGGCCAAGACTAGGAGCCTCTGTGCTTGCACTGTGCTGAACTGGTGAACTGTATTGGTGAACTTGGTTATGCAAATAGTAACACAGCTGATTTTTAGTTCTCCATGGCTCTTAATTCTTCTTTCTTTCATTTTGAAGTGGTGGAGTTGGGTTGTACCTACTTATTTCACTTCCACCTCCTCTGTACACGCCAATAGGGATATTTTACATTCAGTATTTTGCTTCCTCCGTATAGCATACAGTAGGACAAAAATATCTAAATTAAAAAAAAAATTAAGTCTGAGCATGTTACGCAGCAGCCTGTGGTTTAGGTGCTTTGCACTGACCTTCTTTTTACAGGTTAAACACTCTAAGAGTAATCTTTTTTTCTGTTTGTTAAATAGCAGACGGATTTGCACTCTTTCTTCCTTTTTCAGCTACTGTGCCAGAAAACAAGTCAGTGCATTACAATTTGGCTGACTTGTCATTATTGCTCCAAGACTTTCACTGACTTCTGAAACTTCTTGAAACTTCTTGTTTAGGAACTAGAACCTGTAATAAATTCTTTTTGGGCAGAAGCTATCTGTACTTCAGAGTGGGGGCTTTGAAATCTCTTAGAGGAGGGGAGGCTTTTGAAATTGGAAGGTAGACAGACCCACTCAAATGTGGTTTCTGCATTGCCACCACTGCTTTGCGGGGACTGCGCTGTCTCCTCTGCCCCGGAGTTAAGAAGGGGAATAATTAAGTATTAAAAAATAGCGGTTGCGCTGGAAATTGGTTATTGCTGTTTCTGAAGCACTCAGCACTTTTCCTCTTTAAGGATACTTATATCTATCAAAGAGTCTTGGCTTTAATAGCTTTATCTCTGGAATTACACAGGCTAACGTGAGATAAGATCAGATTCTTTTATGCTTAATGTATGTGTGCGGCAACTTGGATCATGAACTTGGTCTTTGCAGAGCTGCCGTTGCTAGTAGGTTAGTTCTGCTTTCTCATTTTGTCTTGTCTTAGAGGTATTTTTAGTCTGAGAAGAGCAAGCTTATTTTTGACCCAATTCCACACTGAAAGTTTAAAAAAAGTCAGTCACCGAATCATGACGGATGAATCTAATACTGTACCTATTTTGTTTCTAGATTTCTTCCCAAACTTTACATAGAGAATATTAACCCATTTAATGTTTCTCTGAATAAGATTGATGGAGGTTGAGAGCTAAGGGAGAGTACATGTCTATCTAAAATGCCTTGTTGGTAGCATTATATTTTTTTCCCACAAATAATTGACTAATGTAATTATTTATATGAAAAAGCAGTTTTATGAAAACTTGCCTTGCTGTATTTCATTACTGCTATTGGACGTGAGGTACAGCTATAAATATTTCAGAAAATGTAAACAGTTGTGTGAAAAATACTTCCAACTTTTGAAAGTAGGGAGCAGCAATGCTTTGGACTACTGTTAAATCAATCTCTCTCTGTCTCTCCTACCCTTTCCCTTTCTTTTCCTAGGTGCATTTTACCTGGTGTTTGAATATATGGACCATGACTTGATGGGACTTCTGGAATCTGGTTTGGTTCATTTTAATGAAAATCATATTAAGTCCTTTATGAGACAGCTGATGGAGGGCTTGGCCTATTGCCATAAGAAGAACTTTTTGCACAGAGATATCAAATGTTCAAATATTCTACTAAATAATAGGTATGGATATTACTTAAAGTATGTAAAAAAAATTGTATGCTAACAACATCTTTAAATCTTTCTTCACAGTTCACCTATTTTAAGTCATTAGCAAAACATTTTTTAGATTGCATAGTTTTAAAACTAATTGTAAAATACTAGTCTGCTAATGCTACTGCTAAACACTGGGTCCTGCAATTGTTTAATAAACTTATCTGTGTTAAACCAGCAGGATTAAATCTTGAATCTTTTAGGTCAGAGTATGGGGAAAAAATATCTGAGTCCAAATACATTAAAACAGAATTCTAGGACATAAGGGTTTGACGTATTCTTTTTGCCATCTCATTTCAAGCTGAAGGCCAGGCTGGATGGGGCTCTGGGCAGCCTATTCTAGTGGGGGATGTCCCTGCCCGTGGTGGAGGGGGGTTGGAACTAGATGATCTTTAAGGTTCCTTCCAACCCTGACAATTCTATGATTCTATGAAGTGTGGCTAGACTGGTTCTTCATGAGATAATTCTGAGGTCCTCGTGTTCATCAGTCAGGATGATACTTTAAAAGAATATTCCATCAGGCACATTCAAACGTGCTTTGGCTTGCAGTTATAGCCATAATCAAATGAGGAGAAGAATTTGTTTCTTAATTCTTTAACCACTTGTAATTACAAATCATATCAGTAAACTGCTTTTGCTCAGGGTGCAACAGCAGCAAGTGAAAGGCCTGTGTGAGGACAATAGGCAAGTTAATACAGAAACGTTGTTCATCAAATCCAGCAATGCTAAAACCAGGGATCAACTGTATGAGTGAGGTTTAATAACAGCAAAAAAAGGATATCTTTACAGAGCAGATAGTCACCTTCTGGGATTTGTTGGCAAAAGAGGTTTTCTTGGTAGTGTGAGGAGATTCAGAACCATGAGACATGTTCATGGACAGGTATCATTAACATCTGCTAAAAGGGAACAGACAAAATACCTGGTTTAGCATCCTTAACACAATGGTTGTGGGTGGTGGTGAAGTATGAAGTGAAAGAAAATGAGAAAAATGTCTTCATATACATCAATGAGAAAAGGAAGAGTAGGGAAAAAGTGGGTCTGCTGCTAAATGGGGCGGGAGATATGATAACAGAGGATGCAGAGATGGCACAATTACTGAATGCCTTCTTTGCCTCAGTCTTTACTCCTAAGACCAGCCCCGAGGAATTCCAGTCACTGGAAGTAAGGGAGCAAAACTGGAGTGAGGATGACTCTCCACTGGTCAGTGAAGATGTGGTTAGAGAACTACTACAAAAACTGAAAACACACGAATCTATGGGCCCTGACGGGGAGCATCCACGTGTGCCGAGAGAGTTGGCTGATGTTGTGGATGAGCCGTTCTCCATTTTCTTTGAAAAATTATGGGGAATCGGAGAGGTGCCTGAGGACTGGAGGAAAGCCAATGCTAGTGGAGTCTTCAGAAAGGGCAAGAAGGAGGACCCAGGTAACTACAGGCCGGTCAGCCTCACCTCCATCCCTGGGAAGGTGATGGAGCGGCTCGTTTTGAAGGCACTCTCTAATCAATTGGAAGAAAAGGAAGTTATCAGGAATAGTCAGCATGGATTTACATTCTATGATTCTATGAGCAAGATGAGCCCCACAGTGATCAGGTTCACATGTTCTCCCTGTATATCTACTGCTGCAGTTGGAGACCAAGTATTGGGCAAAAATGGATCAAGGGTCTCTTGGTAGGGCCCCAATTTTGTCACAGCTTTTTCAAATCAAATTTTCCAATTTTCCTCTTTTTTTTCCTTTTCCTTCCTGTAACAAGCTAACAGTAGAGTATTTTCAGCCCTGGATCCCACCTCAGTCTTGCTGGGTTATGCTGCAGACTCTTAAACAGATGTACACATGCCTCCACATGGCTCACTGTGCCCCCAGCCGTCACTTGGCTGTTGGCTCTTCTCCAGTGGTGCTGATCTCTCTGTGCACCTTTGGGAACTCAGAAGCTGAGGTGTAACCTGACAGTGGAAAAGAGTGCATTACTGTAGAGGTGGAGCTTTCTGTTGTACTGTGCTCTCTCTAATCTGGGATACTGATTTTTTTTTTTTTAAATATTTTTTTCCCATAGGATATTTTTTGAGCATCCTTAAACGTTTCCACTGGAAGAAAAAAAAATTCATAGTTGGTCTGTATAACTTTAAGCCAATATTTCTAAAATCCCATTACTAGTTATAGCCTGAAGCCAAACACATGGGTTATATATATCTTTTAGATAGGCAATTTAAATGCCTTTTCTCAAAAGTTCATTCATCTTCTACAGATATGCTTTCTGAGGAATAAGTATGTAAATTTGAGGGGAACGTTTCCTTGTTTATGGGGGTTCTCCAAGTGTTACAGCAATTCCAAGCACATATCTAAGGGGAAAAATGGAATGGAAACTGAGACTTGTATGTTTTATTGTCACAAAATGGTCATTCTTATACACATCAGCAAATATCATCCTAATTTGATGAAATAAAATTAATTTGAAAGTGACTTTTGCATGTATTTGGAAGTGATGGGAGTTTTAAAAGCTCCTAAGTACAGAAAAACAAATCCCCATGTAGCATTCCAATGTTCATGTAACGAATTAGAAAAGCTTGCAGATCACTTTCTGTTTAAAACATCCTGGCTTTACAGATGGTTGGGACTTCTGGTCCTTGAGCAGTGCCTTTTCGCCCTGGAAGCTGCCAGGCAAGAGCTCTGTATCTTCTACTCTTCCTCTCACATATGGGAAAACTCAAGAAGGGGTTAGAGGTTGTGTCATTCACAAGTTGGCTGCTGGCAAAAATAGAAGCCCTTATCTGGTTGCTCACCCTGATTTAAAGGCTGTATTTAAAGTTTACAAGAGCAGAACAGGACTTTGACAGCTTCCTACCCGAAAGTATGACTGCTGATAGTTTGTTGCGTGAATACTTATGCAAGCAGTAAGGCATGAGAAAACAGCAGCTTCCCTCCCTCACTTTTTTCTTGCAGTTACTGATTTGAATACTTTGCACCTAAATTTTGTCCAACATCCAGTGATGTAAATGCTATTTGATGAGCATACCTAATTTTACTTTCTTGTTTTTTCTTTCCAGTAAGTGTATTTTAGTGAAGAGCTGCATAGATTTTTAAGTCATTGCCTTCTCTTTAATGTGGTTTGGTGAAGATCAGTTGCAATTGTCTCAAAACCTCAAAGTTCAGGAAATTTAACAGGTTTAAGTGCTAAAGAATTCTTTGCTTTTTCCACCAGAGGGCAGATAAAGCTTGCAGATTTTGGGCTTGCTCGGCTGTACAACTCTGAAGAAAGGTAAGATACAATTATACTACGAGAAAGTATTCAGAAGCTTAATTTTTTTGTATAACTCTTAAGTATTGTAAGAGCCAGAATACTGTTGTGTTTAGAGGAAGCATTATTGTACTGTAATAGGAGCAATTGCTTAGGAAAGGGAAAGAAGTGCATATTGTCTTGCACTTGCATAAAACCCCAAAACTCTCTCTGTGCAAGTGCCTTGCTTTTCTCAGTGTATTATTCTGGATAGATAACCATAGAGGGTGGCTGTATATTGATCGGAAATGAAGAATTGCAGTCCTAAGTTGGTTGCATTAATATGTAAGTTTTTTACTATTAGTTTCTGGTCCTGTAAACCTAAAGTGTATTCTTTCTGTTGCTATACCTACAAAGAGTTCATTTAGGTAAAGCAAATTTTTTTCTTCCTGAAACAAATTAGTATACAGGGTGGTTTTTTGTGGATTTTTTTTTTTTAATTAAACATTACTTTTGTGTAAGATTTAACCTTACATTTGAAGAGGTTCATTGTATTCTTTAGGCAGTCAGTGCTGTTGAATCTGCTGGAAAATGATATAAGTTTAATAAAAGTTATTCTGAAACTTTTTTCGACTTGTGCTTCTGTTGTTCTTGGCTTCATTATGCTTGTACTCCAGGAAACAGGTGCACAGTTTTTATGATTAAGAACTTCTATATTTATATTGTAATGTCATATGTTTGTCATGTGGAACTGGTTTTTCAAAATTCAGGCTGAATGTTCATTATACTAGTATGTATGTCAGGTGGTTGGATACAGAGAATATTAGCTACCTGAGCTTACTTTAATTTTCTGCATGCCGAATCTGGGAAATAATATCCATAATTCTAGCTTTAGGAGTTTATTGTTTCTGAACAGAGCTCTGAGCTTTTTGTTGAACCTGATAGCATTAGCTTCACTGTCTTCTGAGCTGTTATTTCAGGAACCTATGCTTAAGTACAGTTATGAAAACCATTGAGTGTAGTTGCAGGGTAAGATAATCTTAAGCAGCTGCTGTGTAATTAATTTTTCTTTTGGATGTACTTAGAATAAAAGGGATTGATGCCATGCTTCATTCTTCTTTTCATGTGCACCAAACTGTCCTAGGTTTTTTCCCTTACCAGGTGGGATTTTTTATCTGTTTTTAAATAAATTGAAATTTTGCCTCTAAAACTAACTGTTCCTTAAGAATTGAATGGTTGGAAGTTCAGTGTCTTTATAGCGCAAATAACAGATTTTACTGTACATGAAATGGCAACAGTATTACACCATTATACATAAATGAAACCAAGATTAAAATGTAATTATGCTAGCTAATAGAATTGCCAGTTGAACTTGGGAGGATAACTAGAATCTCATTAGTAGATTTTTTGACAATTGCTTTGTCGTTCATTTTCCTTCTGTGTAGCTTCTGACCTGCAGTAACGTAATTAATGTGTACCAACGAGCGTATGACAGCTGCTGCTTTAAATTCCTGTACTTTACGTTTTTTTTACTGTTGTTTAGAAGTAGTATTTTTTCAAAAGGGTACAGAATTTAGTAGAGGCATAACAGGAGGGAAATAAAAATTTAATTTTAAGCAACTTCCTATAAGTTGTTGTAGTTATGCTCCTTTAAATGTTATGCTGGTGGATTTGATTTTTGGAGTAGGAGATACAACAGATTGTGTAAGAAAGCATCTGTTCAAATAAAAAATATCGTACACTAATATATGAGTGGTGTATCTGTAGAGAAAGTTCATACCATGTAACCATTTCATAGAGGAATACTTGCTTTAGAGATAAATACAAGAAATGATGGAATTGTTCCCAAAGATGTACTATATTTTAAAAATGAACTGGGGAGTTTCTTTTCTTTAAAACAAAGACATGGGAGATTTTGCAGAAATGATACCTGTACCGCTGAGTACGTTATAAGAGCTTCATGCTGTTCAAACTCCACAGTTAGTTACTCTGCTTTCTGTTTGGAGTTACCTAGTGTTGGTAAGAGTGGATTGTTAAAACTGAAAGAATTTTGAGATCATTTTTTAAGACACCCTGGTTGAAACAACATCTGGCATCTGTTTTTTGTCTTCCATTCTGAACTGTCAATGCTGATCTCAGCCTGTCCACAAAAAAAAATAAAAATAAAATTTAAAAAAGTGTGTCTGTGATAGTGGAAATCCTTGCCTTAGTGTGAGGGTGGAAAGGATTATTCTCAGTGATCAAAATCTCTGCTCTGAGCTGTAAAGAATTAAAGATGTTGTGATATATAGGAAGATACTGGAAACAAAGGCTTTGGAATCAAAATTGTTGAAGGATGTAGTTGAAGAAAAATGCTTTGTCTCTTGTTCCTGTTTGCAGACATGAAAGTGACTTTTTCTTTTCAAGATGCTTTTAGTATTTAGTATTCAGTATTCTAATAATCAGTAGCTGCCTAGAAATTACTGGTTTTATCCACCTAGGTCCTTCTTCTGAAATGACCAGCAATGTAATAAATATACGGTATTGGTACCTGAATGATAATTGAGATGCAGGATTCACGTAGCATTGCATCAGCTATGCGATTGTTATTTATTTCTTCGGTTTGTCCTTTGGTAGCCTTGCACACACTGTTGCATTTGCTTTTGTGCAGTCGCAGCTTTGCAGGACTAAAATTAGGAAAAGGGAGTGGAAGATTGTGCTGTTCTTAAACAGCACCACAGAAGTAAAGTCTTCAGAGCATCACTTTCTCGTAAAGGAGATCATAGTAAAATGATAGTCCTCTCTTTTTGCTCCCCCCAACAGCCGACCATATACCAACAAAGTTATTACATTATGGTATCGGCCTCCCGAACTTCTGCTTGGAGAAGAAAGATACACGCCGGCTATCGATGTCTGGAGCTGTGGGTAAGAGTTTGGTACAGCAGTGTAGCAAGCTTAAAAACAAGCCAAAAATACAACTTTAACGTTTCTGCCAGTCTATATGGAAAGACGTAATGATGAAATTGTGCAAAACTGTTTTACAGCTGCATCCTGGGTGAACTTTTTACAAAAAAGCCAATATTTCAAGCAAATCAAGAGCTTGCTCAACTGGAACTTATAAGGTAACTTGTAAGCACCACCATGTAGTAGCTGCCTCATAAATTGTCAGGTTTCTTTTCTTTTGTTAGAGTTAAAATTGGGGAAAACACACTGTGAACATTTACAAGTATTCATTTATTGTCCTGAGTGACTTTTGCTCAGACTCAGAGTATTCTGTGGTCCTAGCAATTTACAGTTGAATAGGAAGATGACTTTTTGTAGAGCAGCTGAAGTTACCTATTGCAGAAGTTGTAAAGAGAGAGTAGTCAAAATACCCGTTATTTTTTTAAGATGGTTTTACACCTTCCTTGCAGCAATTCAAAACAAACATAGACAAAAATAAGGACAAGTGGGATTTGGGAGCAGTAGGTACTTGGCACGCTCCTGGCTTTAAGTTCTTGTTTCAAGCCTTCTGCATACACACCTGGGCTTTATTATTTTTGTGGGAATATTTCTGTTCCCTTACAAACTGCCAGACTCTTTATGGACATAAAAGTTCTCTCTTTCCTTATCTCAGTAAATCACAGAATGGTATGTATATAACTCAGTGGAAGCAGAGCATCCTTTTTTTTTTTTTCTTTATTCAGCAAACAAAAATTGCACTTGATTCCGATACCCTAACTGACCTCATAAGTGAGGAGAGGTCCTCTTCATAACAACAAGGGGAAAAGAGTGAGTCCTACAGAACTTGCAGACCCTGAACTGGAAATGGTCAACATTATTTTAAAAAATAATGAAAATATTATGAAGTTGTTTTTCAAAACAGATTAAACAGTAGCATGTTTATGTGTAATATGTTATTAGCTGGCCTGGAAAAATGAAGTTTTTAGGAGGTGCAAAGCAGATGAGTGGTCATTCTCAGTGTGGGGAGAACAAAACCTGTGAGTTGGGAGATTTTTGCTTTTGAGCACTAGATGGCATTGAAGCACATGACAGCGCAGTCATGGGAAGTTTTTTCTCTTTGTGTTGTGTTGCATTTTTCTTCTGCTGGAAGCTCTTGGTTTTGGCTCTTTTTTCCTCTTCACTGATCCTAAGCGTTTTTGGCAGTTTAAATGTAATATAACAATTTTGTCAACGTCTCTACCACCATCACCTTACAGTCAACAATTCTGCATTTACCCTTTCTAACCTTAATGTTCAAAGATAGTGCTGAAGTAAATTCTGGTAGGAAAAAATAGATTTATAGTTTTTCTTTTTCCTCCTGAAAGTTACATACCCTGATGAGCGTAAAGTCAGATTGGTTTGCGTAGCACTTGGGGCATATAACTAGTAGATCATTAGATCTCTCACACTAACTGTTTAAATCTATGTGGAGGATACTCAGGGTGGAGTGAGGCAGAAACAGAAAACTTCTTAAAGTAGGTGACATTGGACAGTAGAGAAATTTTAGCTGAAAAACCGTGAACATTAAAATTAACAATTATTTTTCTGTTCACCATATGTGCAAACGTAAAATTACAGCTGTGCTCACTTGTAATTTTGGATCTCATACTTTGTTTGTTTTTCCTCCTTTTTGGTGCAGCCGAATTTGTGGGAGTCCTTGTCCAGCAGTGTGGCCTGATGTTATCAAATTAGCTTATTTCAACACAATGAAACCAAAGAAGCAGTATCGCCGAAAACTGAGAGAAGAGTTTGCTTTGTAAGGATGAAGAATTAGTTTGGTCAACTGTAGTAGCATTAAGTTTTCCTGGATACTTTATGAACTGTGCTATTTTCTGGAGAATGAGTGTAGATTAAATGTAAAGAAAAATGGCTTTGGGTTCTTATCCTTCCCATGATACCTACCGAGCTTGTCGTAACTCCTATTTAATAGGAGCTTCAAGAAGAGGGAAGAAGGCCCTAAAATTGCAGCCACCTGTCGTTTTTCACCTAAGGAAACATTTGTTTTCCATGATTAGTACACCTGCTTGTTGTCCCTGTCCAAAAACCAGCTCAGAGTACTTAACTGTGTTTTATTAAGACAACTGGCTACAGCTAAACATGCCTGGTTAACGTTAGAGTCTTTTGGGTCATAAATTCATTGAACACAGAGGAGTTATCTGAACCGTGTGTTCTAAAGTCCTACCACTGAACTAGTTTTGTTCAAATATCACACGTGCAAGTTATGGAAAACAGCTGTAAGCTTATTTTCAAGGATTTGTTTCCCTGTTTTGATTCTGGTGGGTCTCAGAAGTATATCATCTTGTTTATACTAATAAGGCTTGTATCTTTAAAGCAATAGAATTATTGTCCATGGACTGATCAAAACTGCAATTCTCCAACTGCTAAGTCTCAAAGTGTAAAGTAACAATGTACTCTTGGCTTAAAAAGGTGTGTAGGCTTTTTTGTTTGTAAGATTTTTTCAAGCAATTAAACAACTAAAAGCTTAGTTTATGTGCTTGTACAGGTAATAAAAAGGTGAAGTTTTAGCTCTACCTCTGATGACTGAGCTCAAATTGTCATTGGATTTTGTTAGGATGTAAGTTATTGAAGGACTTAATGACGTGTTATTTTGGAAGGGATGTGTTTATTAAAATTTTGCACCGAAATGTGTGGTTCAAGATAAGAATGTACTGCTTTTCTCCGTTTTTTGTAGCATCCCACCAGCTGCGTTAGATTTGTTCGATTACATGCTTGCTCTGGATCCCAGCAAGCGCTGCACGGCCGAACAAGCTCTTCAGTGTGAGTTTCTGCGAGATGTGGAACCATCTAAAATGCCTCCTCCAGAGTAAGTAATCCCCTTTGGTACTGGTCCCCTACCTCTACGAAATGCAAACATGCCCTGATTTCATTAAGCTTATTGAGTTTCAGTTAAAGTGGATAGTGGCAGAACAAAAACATTGGTAAATGCACTTGTTCTGTGGTGATTCTGCTCTAAAACGGTTGTGCAGTCAAATGGCTCTTGTGCTGTGGTAGCCGTGCTTGTGAAGATCTGAAAACTGTTTCATTTGTTGCTCCTAGAACTAGTTATTGAGTTCATATCTTTAAAAAATATACTCTTATAAGAATGTTTCTAATGTTGAAACCCTGTCATTTCCCTTTTTATCTCTGTTTATGAGTGTCTGTTTTTTTCCAAGGGTTTTGATTTACTTCATGAATCTGAATTGCCTTTGATAGAATGATGCTGAGTATATAATTCTGCAAAGGTAGCTGAGAGATAAAGTGAAATACCATAAATTGTTTCCTGTGCCAGATGGGATTGTTGGTTTTACAGGCAGGAGAAACTAAATACTTCTGAAGGGTTTTTCCAGTTGTTTTTTTTTCTGAGAGGAAGTGTACTGCAACATCCAGTAGGGTTTTTGGAGTGACTTAAATGTCATTTTAATCAGTATGGATGAGCCCTGAAAAGAACAATGAAAAGGTGTTAGAGAATCTGCGTGTTTCATTCTTCCCTCAAGATAGCTGTCTAATTAGAATATTTAGTATTACTTGAGTCAGTTGTACCTTCCAGGCATCCTATGCTGACTTCTTTTTAATTAGTTGCCAACTGGAAAAAATGTTTTGAGTAAGAATTTTATTAAAAATCTGATACTTACCTGTTACTATTACTATTACTGATACTTGCAGATGTTACTAATGCTCCTGATACATGAGGGTAAGAGGTTTTATTGCCTGAATATGACTATATGTATCACTGAATATCAGTAATCGGTGATCTTAGGCTGTTCACTGAAATCTCACAACCTTATGTGCTTATATGCATTTTAAAGTAAGTGAATTGAAAGAAATTTGGGTTTTTTTGAGGGGCTTCGTAGTGCATCCATTCTAGAAATTGATATGTGGAAATTTGGAACAAACTAATTGTTGCTGTCCTTTTAAAAACTGAGAGGAACCACTCTCACTTCTGACAGAGCGTGCACAGGAAAGTGTTGACTGTTCTCTTGAAACACTGAAGTTCTACTGTTCGTTCAGAGAAGTGACAGTGCTGATTGCAAGGACTGCAGGATACTTCTCACAATGAGCTGTCGCTGCCTTCCAGTTGGCTTCCAGTACTTTGCAGGTCTTTGACCTGCTGTACGGAGGGAGACAATAAAGAACGCAGTTGTCATAATTGCCTTTCCAGTGGCTCTTGTCACCCGATTTTTCTGTGTTCCTGAGTGAGGGAACTGCTCAGGCAATTATTAATATGTAGTAGGAAAACAGAAGGCACTACCTGTACTGCCTGTCTCAGTATTTCCAGTGGGACGCATCTCTGTGTTCCTTAGGACACCCGCAGGGAACACAACTCAGGGCAGACCTTTTCTTATGAGACTTTTGCCTCTGCGTTTTTCTATCTTAAAGGACTGGGATATCACTTGTTCTTCCTAGTATCCTAACTTTACTAGTGTCAAGTGTTATTTATTTCTGCAACATTTTTTTTCTTCCCTCTGGTACTTCCGGGTAGTCAGTGCTGTACAACTGTAAATACTAGATAGCCGTGTCTGTTACTGTGGACAAATATTCTGAAACACTGCTTTTACAAAGAGACAAAAGGAATTTCATATCCGTAACTCTGTTATCTATTACTCTGCAAATTGTATTATAGTGAGTGTGCAGCATTGATTTTGGAGTTCTTGATTTACACAAATAATATGACTTTTCCTAGGTAAGGGTGTGAGAAGGTAACTTTGATTCTCATTTTAAGATACATGTTCCCCTTTTCTGTTAGAGGGACCTGTGCTTCTGAGATAGGCAATCAGTGAAGACATTTCAGCTAGAAAAATCCAGATCTGAGATTTTTTTTTTTTTTTACTGGCTTTGGGAATTTTTCTGATGTATTTCTAAGTTCCAGTAGGTTCGTCTTTCAAAAGTTACATTTTCTAGAATTTGAGCATTTATTTTACCAACATGGTTAAAGGAAAGAAGTAATTGTGAGGTAAAACTGGTTCTCTCTCATTGTTTTTTTGCAGCCTTCCTTTGTGGCAGGATTGCCACGAGCTGTGGAGTAAGAAACGTAGAAGACAGAAGCAGATGGGCATGACTGATGACGCCACAGCAACTAAAGTCCCGAGGAAGGATCTGTCTCTAGGCATGGATGAGAGCAGAACCAACACCCCACAAGGCATGCAAACTTCTTCCCAACTCAAAACTCAGGGCAACTCTAGTGTAGCACTTGGTCAGTAATATTTTCGGTTCTTAAAATTACCTTCTACTTGGATTGCACCTCTAGAAATTTTAGGTGTTGTTTTCAGAGCACTGACGTCTCCTGGATTCTTGAGGGAGGAACGGTATTGTAAGTTAAACCTTCGTTACAAAAAGTTTACCTTTGCTTTTGGAAACCAGGTGTTCCTTTTAAGTTTAGCTTGATTTTTTCAATCTGGTCAGAGCAACTGCCTTGCTCTGCATTTTGAGGGGATTTCTCTCTTGTTCGTCTATAATTCTTCTGTTATCACACAAACCAGCTGTTTCTCCAAGTTCCTCACAATCTGCATAGATTGGAGGGACTTTATGGGTATGGAAAAAACTGATCAGAAGGCAGATTTTCGAAAACTCATCACATCAAGTAAAACAAATTTCCTCTGCATGTTATGTTAGTTTTCACCTTTCCAAGTTGTTGGGGCTGAACCAACTTGTAAAAAACCAAAACAGAACACCAAAACCCCACCAACACTCCCCCCTGCCAAAACCTGGTAGAACAAGTATCTACCTCTGCAAATTGCACAGCCATTAATTCTGAAACTTAACAGAAGTATCTTACTTGGAGACCAGTTTTATGAATATAATATAAAAAAATAATGGTTTCCTATGTAGGCACCAATTGAGGTACTCTGTAGTTTGATGATAGTTCCCTCATAATATGTAGAAATATTCAGAGTAACATCACCAAATGGATACCTGCTAAGTTTAATTTAGTCCATTTTTGATTGTGCAAGGTGACCATAAATCCTGTGTCACTGATATAAGAAATCAGTAAATGCATTCACAGAAAATTCTTTGAAAATTCTTTACCACTGACGATCTTGAATCAACTCTTTATTTAACAATAGAGCAGAGCTTCAGACATGGTGCGCAAAGATAAATAGAAATTAGTTCTTTTGATCGTATTTTATTCCAGTTTATCACCTCTTGCTCCTGTTTTCTCCTGTCTCTCACTGTAAGCCAGCTATGAGCTTCTGCCACTCTGTCTGTTTAGGCTAAAGTTTTGGGAGTATTTTCAAGCCCTTAATTTTTTTCCCCCACTCAAATGAAAACTGTATGGAAGTTAAGGAGTCCAAAGGCTAGTAGTTATTTTCTTTGTAGTTTTATAACAGGTAGCCCAGTGAGAGAGTGCTGTGTTTGTTAGTCATTCATACTAACCATGCAAAATAAACCGACCAACTAGAGAAGGAATCATTCGGACCTACATTGCTGTTTGCCCATATGAATGTAGAAAAATATGTCTAGGTAGAAAAGATGACAGTTTAATTTTCAGTGGAGTGTAGACAGTTCAGCATCGAAGTGTTTTCTGTATTAAGCAAAACGCTTGTGGAAGCCACAGTGCACCTTAGGTAATAGCAGTAAGGCACACTGAAGAACGCCATGTACAAATGCATGCGTTAAATTTGACTCTTGCTCTTGTTTCTGAGCACCCCAAAAGAAGCGTTTAAAACCACCTTGAATGAACTGCTGGTGCTCTGATTCATGAATGGGACCCTTGGTTGTTGCATCTTACAATTTATTTAACAGGAGCTGTACAGAGCTCTCAATAATTCTGGTAAAAACTACCAGATTTCTCAGAATACAGTTTACTTCTGGAATAGACTTGGAACTAACCAAAGACTGTGGAGTAGGTAGATTTCTGTTGGGCATTTTTCTGCAGAGTTTTTAATAGAGTCTAAGAGAAGTTTGAGTGTTAAGCATCACATCTGAGTGAGAGCCAGCAGTACAAGGCATTAAAAATTATGAGTTCTCCTCTATTGCCAAATAAAAGGTAATTTTATTTATATATTTATATAAATATAAAAATTTGTTGAAGTCCCTGGTTCCAGAGTAGGTTCCAAGTGCTTGTACCCTAGTGCACATCCACAGCTAGATACTGGGTTGTGGGTTTTGTAGCACCCTGCAGCTGTATTGCTCTTAGTCTTGCAAGTCAAGTACTTAATATTTTTGTGTGTGTGTGTGTATTTTTGAATCTGCTATGGATTTATATATTCATATATAATTATATAGCAGAATGGCAGGGATAGAAGAGGACAGAATGTGTTTGTGTTGATCTGGGTTAAAAAAAATCAGGGCTCTGCCAGTACAGTAGTCACACATGCTCCTATTTTAGTTCTTAACTACTTCTTTAAGCTGTTCTTGTAGGGTACGTTGAAATCCATGCTGCTTCTCTTCACCTTTCAAAATAAACTACCGCAATAGATATTTGAAACTAAGAATCTGCATTGATATTCTGACTTACTTATTCATATTCCCTTGCATCATCGTAATCTCCTCTTATCTGTGACAAAACTCCCATTTTGTTGATGTATATATCATCACAAACCTGCGTTTTCCTGCTACTCGGTGGTTGACTTCTTGTCCTTCAAACTCAGCACTTGCCTTTACATTTATACAGCTAACTTTGGGGTCACCCAGGGCCTGGTCACTTGAGCAGGTGTTAGAATCCAGATTCTGAATTAGAACGGGCCAGAATACCTCTGGAAATGCATTTTGCAGGTGGTCACTTTTTAACAGAGGGATATGATACGTCAGAGGTAGGAAGTTTTGTGAGGATTGGAAAACTTGCAGATACCTAGAGCAGGTGGCTCTAAGCCCCAGCTTAGTTGTATTGTGGAAAATTGAGCTCCAGCTTGACGTTTCTCATCTATCCAAGTGCGTGTGCACACCCTTCGGAAGTCACTTCCGTAATATTGGATCTTACTAATCCATTTCTTATAGATACTCCCCGAATGCTGTTATTACATAAAAACATTCAATTTCTATGTTGTCCATGCATGTGCTTTGCCAGTCTTGTCAGCCATGCTAGTTTAGTCTTACTTTTGAGTTTCTGAAATGTGCCAGTTCTAAATAATACTTAAAACCCACCTTTTTTGTCTTTAGCAAAAACAAGCACTGGACAGCAGTTAAACCAGAATGAAGTGGCAATCCTGCTAAACCTGCTACAGTCTAAAACAAGTGTTAGTTTGGCGCAGTTTGCCCAAGTGTTGAATATTAAGGTAAACCCGGAGACTCAGCAGCAACTAAATAAAATAAATCTTCCTGCTGGAATTTTGTCAGCAGGTGAAAAACAGTCAGAACAGCAGCAGCCGCCGCCGCCTCCACCACCACTGCCGGAACAGGAGCCTCTAAAACAGCCGAGTGTCGTGCAGCCTCCTGTACCACCCGCTCAGCTGAGCCAGCCTAAAGTCGAGACTGATGCTGCCCAGGCAGCTGTACAGAGTGCATTTGCTGTTCTGCTCTCTCAGTTAATAAAAGCTCAGCAAACAAAACAAAAAGATTTCATGTCAGAGGAGAAGGAAAACGGATCAGGAAACGAAATGTCGTTACAACTCAGGCAGCCGCCGGAGCCCACCACTCCTGCGTCTGTCAGCCGGGATGACGTGGAATCTCCGGCACCCGGCTATCCGCATCCCATCAAGTCGTTATATACGTCTGCAGGTACTGAAGGGCTTTAGATGTCTTAGTTTGGGGGATAAAGAGTTAATGTGTTAACCATACCAAGTCTGTGTGAGTATAGGCGAGATGATTAAATTGATCTTTGTCACGCCGTGCGTCTGGATCACAGAGTTTGTGTAATCTTGCTGTAACAGGTGCCACTCAGAGCAAACGATGGTCCCTGTTCTAAGAGGTACGCAAGTGCCGGTGGTGTTTCTGATGAACCAGTCATGTTGATTGTTATTCTGGGGGTTTGGGGTTTTTGAAGCGGTGGTTGTGGCAGAGAGGAGGATGTCCTCTATCAAATTCGTAGATGGAATTTGCCAATTTTGACTGTTTAAGTAAAGTCTGTTTTGGTGAAAGGGTGTTTTATTTTTCCTTTTAATGCTGACTAGAGCAATTTCTTAGTGTAGAATTCTGTACATGGTTGCCCCTAACTGTCACTAACGCACATACTTGAAGGTGCCTTTCTTATTCAGTTTAGTGGTCTGTTGTCAATTTTTTGAGATTGCTATTTCAGTTTTATTATGTCATAGAATGGTTTGGGGTGGAAGGGACCTTAAACATCATCTAGTTGCAACCCCCAGCCATGGCCAGGGATACCTCCCACCAGACCAGATTGCTCCAAGCCCCATCTAACCTGGCCTTGAACACTCCCAGGGAGGGGGCTGCCACAACTCTTTGGGCCATAAACATTATTTCAGTCTGAATACTTGTATTAATACATTTAATCAAAATCACAGGGCTTTCCCTCTTGCCTTCCCCCTGACCCTGTGAGGCAGCAGAAATTTTCATATCAATAAGAAACATCTATAATGTATATATTAGTTAGACCTCGCTGTGGTAGTTTGTGTATGGTGCTGTGGTGGTTGCAGCTGTTGAAAGAAATATTCTGAAGTGGTTTGGGTGAGTCTTTTGGGTGGTGTTTTTCATTTGTGGTTTTTTGTTAGTTGGTTGTGGGGTTTTTTTAGTGTTATGTTTTGTAAATCTTTTCTGATCCCTCTTTGAATCTTCTAGTACTTATGTGTTGATTGAGTTTTGGTTTGGGTTTGTTTTGTTGTTGTGGGGGTGGTTTTTTTTGTTTTTGTTTTTTTTAAGGAATATTTTCTGTTCTTCCTTCACTGCTTACCTAATAATCTTATTTTGAGGAGAAACCTGCATCACCCTCCTGAGGCAAACAAGATGTAAAATAATCTGTCCAACTGCCAATAAATTTAACTAATAATTTAATGAGGATTGAAGTAGCAAACCTCTGTATTGTTCCAGGAAAGAGTCCTTTTCTTTTTGGTATCATTGCTATGTATTTTTATTCCAAAGGTGTTTGTTTTTTTCTTTTTGTCTGCTCAGGTCAAGAGGATTTGGTTAGGCAGCCTGAGATGAGGCTTCTAAACCGAACACCCGAACAACAAGAACGCCCTCGAATCTTGCCTCCGGACCAGCGTCCCCCAGAGCCGCCGGAGCCTCCACCTCTCACTGATGAAGACCTTGATTATCGGACAGAGAACCAGCATTTGCCTCTGACTAACTCTTCAGGAGCGGATCCTCACGCAGGAGTGAAAGCGGCTCTTCTGCAGCTGCTCGCTCAGCATCAAGCTCAGGCGACGACAGAGGAGCCGGTGCAGGCGAGCGTGGATTATCCGAGCAGAGACTCCTACGTGGCGGGCCCAGACTACAAGGATAACTTCGGATCCTCTTCCTTCTCCTCTTCCCATTTCGGTGGGAGCGACGGCATAGGAAGCGGCATAGGAAGCGGCTCATCTGGAGCGTTAGAAAGGAGGAGCTTCCTCGGAAACTCCGATATTCAGTCTTTGGATAACTACAGTACTGCTTCATCTCACTCTGGTGCTGCCCCTCCTCCGTCAGCCTTTTCGGAATCCTTTCCCGGCTCGGTAACTGGTTACCGAGACATTTACCTCAACACTGGCCCCATGCTGTTTAGTGGAGATAAAGACCATAGGTTTGAGTACAGCCACGGCCCGATCCCGGTGCTGGGGAGCAGCAGCGACGCTTCCGCCGGGCCCGAGAGCACGCGCTCCCTGCCCGCAAAGATGCACAACTACAGCTACGGAAGTAACTTGCAGGAAAACCCAGGTGGCATCGGCCACATGCATGGACAGACTTGGACTTCTCCTGCCCAAGGACCTGGCTATTCCCAAGGATACAGGGGACACATTAGCACATCTGCAGTGAGAGGGCGAGGCAGAGGATTACCATATTGAGTATCTGTTTTTCCTCAGGCACATGATTTTTATCTGGAAAAACTTTTTCTTTCTTTCTTTCCCTGCCCCCCATCAGCTGCAGTTTAAAGCAGCCGTTCAACAGACTTGAATAAAGTTAACTCAACAGCTTTATTTTTATGTGGAAAAGGGTCTTGCATACAGTAGGAAAAATTAAAAATGCTTAAAACTCATGCTGTCGGAAAACTAGATAAATTGATTGTACATGTTCACAAACTCTAGTTCTGAATTTTATTTTGTATTTTGGCAGTTTTAAGTGGATGCTAAATTTAGGGACATCAGCTTTTTATGGCACTCTTTCAGATCTTCTGAACTATGCACATTTGTGCTTTTTTTGTAAGTTTGGACCAACTTTTATGTAAAAAAAAAAATTTTACAACAATCAAAGCAGGGCACTGATTTATTTGGTATTTTTCTTTTTACAGAACTACCTTTAGTCAAAGGTCACTGTCAGTCTTTGCACTGCTTTCAGTGTTATTGTGGAAGGTGTACTTTGTGCTCATTTCAGATAATAAAACACAACCTTTCTCTTGATGCAAAATTTTATAAATATTTGGTCAATGTTATTTTTCTTTCAAGAAAAAAAAGAGTGGATGTTCTGGTAAAATGTTCTCTCCATCTCCCAGGCTTGTTTATATAAAAACTGTTTTACTTGAATGGTAAGTGCCTTAACATGTAAGCTTAAGGTCTGCAAAAATTTGGAAGTACTTTATAAATCGATATGAAAATAATGCCTAAACCTGCGTAGTTAACATGAAAATTCAGATAGTAGCGGGCAAGTCAAATAGGTCATAACCTTGTGCTGTTTACTTCAGATGGGCCAGTTATTTAGAGACTTGATGAGATCTCAGATTGATGAAATCATGATTTCCAAATTGAACTTCATGAGAAACTTCGAAAGTGAGGAGAAGAACAAAGAGCGTAGTTTCTCCTCGGCTTCCTCTTGGAGTTGTAGTAAGTGTTTTAGTTCCTCTGCCAAATAAACTATACTTTGTATGTCCTTACCAAGTGACTAAATAGTTTTTTTCTCTTAAATGTCAGTAGCAGTAATTACTTTACTTTGTGTGAAAAGCTGACACTGTCGTCTTTTTACCACCTATACTGCAATGTAGGAAGTAACCAAAGGAAAAATGACCAGTATTTAAAGCAACAGCAAAACGTTTGACACTAGTTCTAATCCTCTGTAAACTTGTGATTGTGCCAATTAATCGATTTTATATCTGCTATTCCACAGAACATTTTAATATTGAAATCAAGTCCCTCTGAACAACAATGGCTGTAATTAAAACTCTTACCAAGAGCCGCTCCTCATACTATTTATGACTTCCAGCATGTTTGGGTTTTTTTGGTTTTTTTTTTCCCGTTGACAACAAGCGGTCTCTCTCCTGCAGAGAGGAGGTATGGTTACGTTTTGCATGTACGTAAAAGAATGTTTTAAAGCCCATATTGGAAACAATTTTCCAACTGATTATCCAGTTGACAAATCGGTACCTTATGTAACTGAGTGTTTAATTATTACTTTTTAAAAAGTAAAATTTCTACTTACACTATTACAAATGTAGTCTCGTCAGTGACTTTTTGGATTTTCAGAAGAGAAGCCAAAGTTGTTGGTGTTTTGTTTTTGTTTTAGTTGAAAATCCTGGTTTCTATATGGCTAACTACCCCGTTGTAGAGCATGGAGAAACTCCCTTCGGTTAACTGCATAGTGTTTGAGGATCTGGCAGATGAGAAAGGGAGAGAGAGTGATGCTGCTTATGACTGCCCTGTAAGTCTGGCAGTTGCCTTCACTAGCTATAGTAGAAAAATCCCACAATCTGAAACAAAAACTTATGACCCAAATAGCCTGGGATTAAGAAAAACAAAATCTTCATGTGTAAATGACAGTGAATTGGATAGTTTTCCTTGAGTAAGGACACTCCCATAGCATTTCTCTGCTAGTAAAATCGTTAGTCGTTTAGATATGGACAGTGTCAGCTAAGGCTTTTTGTTTTCTAATATTAAGAAAAACAATCCCACAGCAATACACACAGATTGGGTTTTTCCAGAATCAAGCAAAAGGCTTTAAAAGCTTTTAGGCAGTCGCTTTCACTAAAAAACGTGCAGTCTGATGTTACTCTCCTGCACTTCAAATGTAACTGCAGGTGATAGTTGGCTTAAAAACAGGTAAGTTTGCATGGAAGATAATCTTGGAGAGCTAAATGATTTGACTTCCAATACAAAAATGCAAGGAAGATGTTGTGTCTCCTGCTTCTTCCCTTTTGGAGGTAAATTTTCAAGTCATTTAGTTCGCCTCATTTAATGCAGAGAAATCAGTCCCCTCTGCATGTGTAACCAACAGTGCAGTTTCTTTACGGGCTGGCAGTACTCTGATGTTGCATCGTTCTGCCAAAATGAATTTCTGTCTTTGACCATGAAAAAAAATATAAAATAGCACGAGTAATCCTGCCTATGAGGAGATAGAAGGAGATGCAAGGGACAGTTGACTTCCAGGTGGATCCGAAGCAAAACTCTTGCATGCTGTGGCAGATGCGTGCTGCACGATGACTTTTCCCCAAATTCAGTTTAAGGATGACCAGCCCATGACCTTGAATGCTGTGTTTGCCTGGGACAACAGCGTCAGGATAATTTGGAGGGAGAGTTTCCATACATGATAATTCAGAAGAGAGATTACCTTCTCTGCAACCCAGGGGATCTTCCTGGCTCTTTTCCTGTGATGACCTTTTCTCCTGGGTGGGTAGAGCTTGTGTGTGGGCACGGGGCTCTGCCCTCCTTCTGCAGGGCAGCCCTTGGGGTGCCTGGCAGGGGTATTTCTTCCCACGGGTGAGCTCCCCTGGCTCTGGAGCTGTGCCTGGGCGAGGGAGCAGCCAGGGAACTGGCGGGATCCGAGGACTAGGTCCACGTTCATTTGTGCTGGACCTGTGTATTATCAGTCAAAATTTGTTTTATATTAAATCGCACGACGAGGTACTTATGTCAGTTCAGAATTTTACCCTTTTTGAACAAATTTCACTCGGCAGAGTGAGGCCGTGCTAGTTTGGTATTTTACATCATGTGGCTCTTGCATTTTTGACGCCGCAGTAGACGTTCTGAAAACCGCAGTCTTTTTCTGTGGAGCCGTGGCTTTTGATACTTTCCCCCCCTCCCCGATTCCTTTGGGTTTACATTTTCTGTGCTGCAATTCCAAAGTGTGCTACAGAGACCTGGACACTACATCGAAAAGTAAGTGTTGTGTGTTTGTATTTCTGAATAAACATAGCAAAATACTGTAATCATGGACTATCAAGTAGCAAGTACTTCATTATTTATATTAAGTGGTCTTTAGCCATACCAAGAGGAGGAGAGCGAGCATGACTGGACTGCTGTGACCATGACTTAAAATGCTTAGACTATTGTAATACTTAAAACCAGCCAAAGGAAAAAGAAACAGCTTTTGTCATGGATTGCCAATTGTTGTTACCTTGAACAGAAGGAGCACTGTTAGGGGATAGGTATAAAAATACATGCATCCTTAAATATAATTTCAAAATGGTAAACTTCTATATTTTCTTGTATTTCCATAAAACATAGTCTATGTTAAATTTTCTCCCTACCGCGGTGGTGTAAGGCGCTTTCTAGAAGCAGAGGTGTCAAGCGCCGTAATGTAAGTTCCCGCAGTTTTGAGCGCTCTTCTCCTTTTGCTTGGTGCAGGAGGCAGTTTCAGTTGAGATGGGGTTTACCGTTGGATGAGTTTAACAGACAATTGTGCAGTAAAACCTGAAGTACTGAAGTGACATAGGATACCTCTTGTACCTGGGGGTGAATTAGATCTCAGACTATGAGTTCTGTTTCCAAGAGAGAGAAATCTCAGATGTATTTCTTGCATTCTTCTTTTCGTTAATAAAACACGCAAGTGTTTTACATACTATGTTTCTCCAGTCTGTTCTGTTACACTGTTTTTCACGAGGAAATTTTGGTTATTTCCCTTCCTGATAGTTTGGAGATGTTCTGTATATGCGAAAGTGTGTCCTGACATTGAGGAATGGCCGGAAAACTGATTTGAATTCTGTATTTAAAAATGAAACGACCTTGGGTTGACTTAAAGTTGAACTAACTTTTGCTTATCAGGGTGAAGAATACTTTATTGCAGGAGTTATTTCAAGACAACCTAATTTAAAATAATCAAACTGTTATGCTCAGCTTGCTTACTCTTTGTTATTTTAAGCCATTTGTATATAAATTGTATTGTGCAGCCTGTAAATAAAATACATGAAAACTTGAAGCCTTTCATCGTTTTCCGTCTCTGGTGGTCGAGTCGCATTTCAAAAAGAACTTTGGGTTAAATGGAGAATTTTTCAGTGTGTTAAAATACTGCGAGTAATTAAAAAATACTTCCTGCTCCGGTACTTTTGCGAAGGGAAAGTGTGGTGACTGGCTGCACGGGTGCTGGTTGCGTTAATATTCCTCAGTGCTGTCTCTTTAAAGAGGCTGGTGTTGGGGTTAAAAGTAATGGGAGATCCAGCCCAAAGAGAGGATATTTCCAGTGTCTGTCCACGTGCCTACGCTGCTGGTGAAGCACAGTAAATCCAACATGGCCTCAGCAACCGTGCTTTGAATGGCTCGGGCTTCTCTGCTTTTTTTTTTACCGTATCGGCTAATCTAATGAAAATGTTTGCGTCTTTCAAGAAATGCTCTGTTTCCATCCAGAAATAAGGCACTTGCTGTATCTTCAGTGCTCCTGAACTCCAGGTGGGACGGGCTGCTGCTGTCATTGCTTCGAAGCCGAGCGGTGAAGGTGCAATAGGAATTTCCAAGGCACGGCAGCAGTTAGAGAGGTGTCATTTAACGCTGGGCTGGCAAAAGGTGTATCTGTAGCCCAAAGAATCTTCTCGCTTTGGAGACAGCACTTTGGCTGCAGCTATCATTAAAGCCTGGCTTTTATTTCTGATGACCCATTCAGGCTGTTCTAGATAGGTTGTTGACTTGCACGTAGCAGCCCAGACGGTCGTGCGAAACAGTTTCTAGTAGTCTGATCAATTTTTCTCTTGAAAGCTGCTATTGCAACCAGTAATGTGACAAAGCTCGTTCCGGTTTCTGTTGGGATTATGAACCTGTAATGGTTTGAGGACGGTGCTGCATCGTGTTTGTTTGACAGTTGGTGTCATATGGGTACCAGTAATAATTCCAGTGGGATCTGCATGCAAATCGATACCCTCAGCTGCAAATAAAACATCAAGGGAATGAGGAGAAGCAGAACAATAGCCTGTGGCAACACAGAGCAAGGAATGTGCCTGTGAAATCAGTGGCAAGAGAGGAAACAAATCATCTCCTGTCACAGCTGTGAACTATTGCTCGTTGGCTTTGAAAGAACCACGCAATTCTGCAGAAACTTCTGTTAAATTAGCTGACCTGGGATTAGGTTGCTTCTATTTTTAAGGAATGCCTGTAAACCCTGACAGGCCAGCCGGATGAAGGGGATTACAGCTACCAAACTCCCCTGTCACATGGAAGAAAACGCAAGTCGGAGCTCTTGGCAGTGACAACAAACGAGAGGAAAGGAGAGCTTCATTTGACAAACGAGGGGAACTGTTTCTTTTCCCAGTCAACCACGTT